AAGAAAGGAAGGAAGGAAGGAAGGAAGAAAGAAAGAAAGAAAGAAACCTTAAAAAACGCTTAGCTCGCTTAACAGCGGAAAAAAACTTGATAATATGGTAATTACATGTGTGTGAGCGTGCTTGTTTGCACACCACTTAAGTGTTCAACCGAGCACAATGTGAAGCTAGCGTCGGATTGGCAGCGTCAGATTGATATTCATTGATATTCAGAATCATCCCATTGGACTCCTATTACAACTCAGTCTCGGGTTGGTCATGTTTTTATGTTAAATCTAAAAGATATGATAACACATTTTAAAGACCCCTTCCATTTTCCGGTTAGATTGTCGCATGCAATGGAACTAAATGTAGATGTGAATTTAGATGTGAATCCGAGGGCAAAATCAGTAAATTCGTCGAGAATAGGCAGTGTATTCTACTTAAGAGCATAGAATATCATGGATAGAAATCAGAGAAGAAAGTTTAATCGGAATTTGTTTGTGTTTCTGCCACCGTTAGGGGAAAGAGAGGAGTAGAATGACCTGTTTGATCTCCCCCGGAAATGATTCTGAATCTCAATGAATATCAATCCGACGCGCCTGCCAATCCGACGCCAACTTCACATTGGTCGACCGGGCAATCATTGTTTTGCATGACTTTCACTAACCCTCCTAAAGTATTTTGCATCATCGAACATGTCGCTGGAGCACGAACGTTGTGTTGTTAGAAATAAATAAATATATAAATAACTTTATTTAAGTGTCGATGTATTTAGTTTACACTCAATTGAAGAATCGTTGTCGGGTTCAGAAACATAGAACATAGAAGCTGAGACCGAAATGGCACATGGGAAACGACATAACGCCATCCATGCAGTCGGTTTAGAATGCCAAACGCGTATTAAAAACAGTGGATGATGCCAAGGGTCGCCGGTCACAGCATGCATGTAATTAACGTACTTCCCATGTGCCATTTCGGTCTCAGCTTCTATGTTCTATGTTTCTGAACCCGACAACGATTCTTCAATTGAGTGTATACAACTACTTGAGGAAACTGAAATTAAACTGAAATGAAGATCAAAGAAACTTAAAGTGTTTTAAGAATCCCAACTGGCAAGGAGGCAAACCAGTTGGCTATTTACAAGCATGGTCGAGAAACTGAATCTGAACTAATCAGAAATCAGGACAAATACAGTCTCAGCTAGTGGCCTTAACGCAACTCGAACCTGGCACCATTGGATTGCGAGACCGACGCTATGACCAGTTGACCATGCTGCCTCCTATGTTCATGTTCATAAAGTTTAGAAATTAGTTTGTCATTGTTATATGACATTATTTCCCTCTTTTTTTTTTTTCTTTTTTTTTTTTACCAGATAACGAAGAAAGTGACAAGCTGGAGAATTTAGATAACGCTGAAGAGGAAGAGTTTGTGGACGACAGTGCTGTGCCTAAAGAAGCAGACTTTTGGAATGTTATTAGCGACGTTGACGACCAAAAGGAGACGGAAAATCATAACGATTTTCTTGGAGAACAGTCTGAATTTAACGAGTTGTTTGGGTCCCCAAAAAGGGGTTTTCGGCCTTTCAGTGAGTATAATAAAATCGTAACATTAGAGCTTATTCAGATTTTTTTTTAGCTAAGTTACTAGAAGTTGCGCCTCGCGGACTGGATCTAATTGCTTGGAATTGAAATCCCATCCAGTCCGATATTGAAGGCTTTGAAATGACTTCTCATGCTCATTATTAATTATTTGATGACTTGGAGTAGCTGGAACAAAATTAATTTAGTCCTAGGACTGAATTAATTTTGTTCCAGTTATACTACAGACTGAATTCAGTCCTTTCACAGGACTTTACCAGGTTTCAAGTAACATCATGTGACCCAAAAATAGCCCATTGATTGGCTGGTTTACTCATGAATAATTAATGAGTAAAATAGAGAAAAATAGGGAAGATTTGCAAAATAAGTTGGGCAATCATGCAGTGCAACTCGAAAGCCGAGACCTTCTTGGGGGGGGGGGGGGGGGGGACCAAAAAAAGAATCCATTCCATACAGTTTTCCCCTTCTTATATTTCTCTCCCTTTATCTCTTTACTCCCCTAACTTCCCTTTAGTATTATAACAATTGGTTATTAGTGCTGCTTTCTCGGCAAAGTTGAGATCAGACAACTGACATTCCAATACACTTGTTATAATTAATCTTCAGCATCAGTGGCACCGACACCCACAACTACTATGGCTCCAGCGACGGCCATTCCAATGCCAACGACTGTATCGCCTCCAGGTAAGGTTTGTCTTTTTAAAATGAAATCAAAAGTGGTCAATACAGGCCAACCGTAATTTATCTCTTGAATTTCGACAAATAGGAACTAGAAATGTTTCTAGATTTTTCAGCATGTAATTATAAGTAATGTTTCAAATACGAGTTGCTGTATTCTATTGGGGTTTCAAAATCCGAGTGGAATTTCAAACTGTGGGTTTCAAACTATGCACGTGGTAC